AAAGCAGATCAACTGTACTAAGACACAATAAATGCTGAGGTTCTTAGAAACAGAGTTGTAACCTACAGATTTTTAATTTTTAAAACTATTTCTGTACTGTAAATGTCTAGCGTTTATTTTACATCAAACACTTTTGAAACATGTTTCACAAACTACGCCTCAGACATATTTCCATAGAGGTGCCTAGAGTCAATTAAACACGGGCCGAATTGTTCAATACCCTTTACATAAGCATTTTATAGCTTCCTTTAAAAAAAAAGTAAAAGGGGCTATGTCCCCTAGAGTTATTTGTGCAGAGCAACCACGGTGTGTGGCTGTCATTTCACAAGAGATCCATGTTGGAGAGATAAGCTGTTGTATATATATTGAAAAAAATCCCATGGGGAAAGGAATTTTCAGGGGTGCTCCTCCTCATCTTCCGGGTAGTTCTGTATGAGTTGCAAGCAACTCTGAGTAAACAGAAATCACACTGAAAGCAGCAGGGGTGCTTGGTCATGTGATCTGATCAGAAAAAAACCACCTTTCCCAACTCTTCACTTCCTTTTCCAGTTTTGTCAAGATGACAAATTTCAAAGACATTTGCTGATTCCTCAGAAGGCATCAGCACTTCCCTGAGAAGCGGCCATGGGGAAAAAGGCTGACATCAATTGGTGACTGAGTCATTCCCCAGTCATTTTATTCTACATCAGACTCTCCACAACCACAAATATTTGCCCTAGAAAGAACAGATAAGCTTGAGACCCTCATTTTTCGCCGCAGGGTCAAAACAGATTAGTGAAAAGGTATTTCAAAGCAAGAAGGCAAAATATGCTCACTTTTTATAATAAAAATTTCTTAGAAAACTGAATAGTTACTTGATCTGATTTCTGATGTTTGTCATAAGGTCTCAGAAAGAGTCACTTTTGCTGACATTACCTGCTGGTCTCACAGGAATCATTAATAAATAAAAATTTATAAAGAGCCATATTTGTGAGAAGTAAGCCATGTGATTGACTGTTATCTATATCTTTGTTTAAAAATCTGATTTCTTTGGAGACTTGTGAATATAACTTTGAGAAACTTTCCACCGAGTTATCAACACAATGGCCCAAATCACCACAATTGTTTCCAGGTGCCTGCCCCACAAAGGCAGGCCAAGAAATTTTCTTATTGTGAGGAAAACCTAAGAGAACTAGATTGTGTTGCCATGAAATCGCTTTTCTTAGAAGTGGTGTTAAGAATAAGTGGGTCTCTCTATCCTGTTGGGCATGTCTGAATGACAGTCTTCTCGAGAGGTAGATGGATGAGGCAGATGATCTCTGGAGATATCTTACAGTCTCAGGACCACATTAGAAGAACACTGAATAATCTTAAACTTTCCTTTACTCATATACAGTTGGACAATGTATCTCTGGGAAAAAGTAGTGTTCTGAATACCCATTTGGCATAATTAGTTTTTAATAAATTGATATTCAGACAGTAAGTTTTGAAGCTGACCTTACTTGATTGTAGCACAAAGAAAATGACTGATGGCCAATTATTGAGATTTCAAATTTATCAAATTCAGATCTCCTTTCATTAAACTATCTAATAATCAACACTAAATTTTAAAAACAAGACAAAACCAATCTTAGGTATTTATTTACTAAGGTTAGGTATTTAGGTTTTTCCATCTTAGAGGAACACATATTTCAATTTTGTTTAATTTCTTCCTTTTTTATATTTAAGTAAAATTTCAAAACCACATAAAGTTGTAGTTGTAAAGGTGGGTGGACTTCTTCATTACTAAGGAGTAGAACTCAGTGGCTAACATAAAGAGAAAGGTAAAACAAAATTGGATACATTAAGCTACAACATTAGAAAATCCAATCTCATTTTTAGTAGATTTCTTATGTAAGGAAAAAAGCAAAGCCTGATAATGAGACCATATACTCACTGGGAGATTATGGCATAGCAGTTACACTTTATACTGATATTTTATGATAGAAACTCATGGGTACATTTTAAGAAGATCCTTTTGTCTAAACCAAGTGCCCTTCAAACTAATAAAATACTAACTAGTCAGATACAAATAGTGGGAAGGAGTCGAAAGAAAAAGGTAAAAAGGGAATCAGAGATATAGTATAAGAGGTAAGGCGCTTATCTTATCTGGTGCTGACCACGGTTTTGATCCCCAGCACTGCATATGATCTTTGACCACTTTAGATCAGAGCCCAAAAGGGCCCCTGAGCAACACTGGGTGTCCCTGCCCTGCTCTCTCCCTTAAAAAAGAAAAGAAATAACCAACAAAGTATTTATTTCAAAATTACAACTAAAACCATTCAATTGGGTCACATAAATTAAAGAAAGACAAGGCTAATTTTGACCAGAAATTTACACTCTTCTAAGTTCTTCTAATCAATATACACTATCTTAATATTTAAATGGTCTCATAGATGTCACTATAGTCAGTGAAATGACTTGACTCTTTCCATGGTAATGAATCTTGAAAAGGAAAGAATGACATCATTAGCATGTTGAATATAAATATTCTCCAACTGAATTCTATCATATTCCTTTGAAGCTTTCTTTCTGTTATGAACTTTCATGAGACGAAATGAAATGAAACATTAGAGCTGACTTTTCTTAAATTAAAAAACAAGTATAAAATATTAAATAAAAATCGATTACCCTATAGTGTGCTGTATCTGTCACAAGTGAAAGTACTCAATCACATGACTTAAATATTTAAAGTTACTTCATTTCTCACAACTGTAACAAGTATTTGCAAGTAGTGAAATTGCAGGCTATTCTATGTCTGTTAGATTAAAAAGTGCATATAAAGTGAGTTGGTTTAGACATTGAATCTACATATATGTAGATTTCTAGCATCTGTCGATGGCCACTGTTAGGATATCAGGATATTTTCTACCCAGACAGCATGTAGTTTGATCATGTTCAGCCTGATTACCAGCAAAATCCAGATCACAGTCATATTTTGAGTTCAAATTTTTGATACAAAAAGCAAAACAAACAGAACACCTGCATTGATTAGGAGATAAGTCTCTTAAGCTTATATCCCTAAAAGGAGTTGAAATGAAAATTAGAAATGATTGGTTTAATGATGACTCTAAATACTGATATTTGTGGGTAAACTATTAAGCAATTTTTAATTTCCGTATTAATACTTTTGACAACAATCAGTCATTTTAATATAAAATGTGATTAAATCTTAAAACGTTTATAACACACCGTGGCAGTTTTTATTTTTTAAATCTTCAAAATTTTTTTAATAGTAGAATGAGATTGATGTGGGTGGTGGTGAGCAAATGTGAATACCAACCAATCCCTATGAGTCTCCACAGTCTAACTAACGGTCCTTTCAGAATTCAGGCTGCCAGTTTGTGAATTTAGCTTTTATAAGATAACACAATTCTAGTTTTCAGTTCTGCTAAAATGTTATGGTTCTTAGAAAACAATACCACTTTTTAAGATTTTTATCCTCAGCCCTCTCTGACTCTTCCAAAATCCCAATGAAATTCTGAAATCCCAATATTCAGTCAATTCAGTTAAATTCTTCAGTGCTACAGAAAGCATCTGATGAACTGTACTGTTTATGTAAAACTGTGATATTTGGCTTAGGCATCTAAGTTACTTCAGCACAAGCTAACAGATCTCAGAGTAATCTATCAAGAGTTGAGCATTTGTGTTAAACTAGAAATGATTAAGACATTAAATGTGTGGTGTTGAATCTGTTAAAGATAGTTCAACAGATAATTCCATTTGTAAAAGGAGTCAAGTCTAGCTTTTGAAAGCACAAGTGCTTCCCCTTCAAGGCTGGCATTTTATACATCAAAATAGCAACATGGAATGCTTGGTGAGATTATCAGGAACAGATGTCATTTAAATGAGAGAGATTAAGTCATAGTAGGATGAATGGAAAGTCTTTTGACAACCTCTAAAATGGGAGTCTCTGGATGACTTTGAGGATTTCACATGTTTTGTAACTCTAGTTGAAAGAGAGGGAGCAGGATGCCCTATTTTCTACCCGCTGCAAGGAAGATTGTACACTTGGAAACTAAAATGAAGATTCTCTTATATTGATAGCCTATTTATAAATAGAAATCAGAAAGATCATATTCCACGTTGTTGTTTGAGAGTTTTCCTGGGTTATGTATGAGTCAAACCCACTGTTGATACTGTCTGGTAGTGATTTGCTGATATAATTTAATTTTTAGTTTTTGTTTTTTTGGGTCACATCCAGTGGTGCTCAGGGTTTACTCCTAGCTCTGCACTCGGGAATTACACCTGGCAGAGCTCAGAGGATCATACAGGGTACAGGGAATGGAACCTAGTTCAGCTGCTTGCAAGACATATGCCTTACCTGCTGTCCCATCGCTCTGGCCCCTGATATAAATTTAGCATCATTTTTATACATCTAATATGGAGGAAGCAATTAGTAAGATTCTCTATTTTTCATTCATTCTAGCCCAGTCCAGATTAAAATGATGGATTTAGATATGAGGAGAGGAAGAAGGTTCTTGTGAGTTTCATTAATTTAGGAAAGAGAAGTCCTTTTAGTGACAGTTTTTTTATTATTAGACAAGAATTAGTGTCACTTTTTCTAATGCCACTTTACAAAGTCACAACCAGATCATAATAAGGCCTGGCTGAATAATCCACACAGCTTTTCATCATCATCACCTTCACTAGGAATTTGCAGTGCCCAACCTCCCTTCTTTATATAATCTAGGGCACTTCCTTTAACATATTAGGTACTATGTAAATATCTATCTCGAAAGAATTGGGAGCCAAAAAAATTCTGTCAAGACCAATGGATTTTAAAATAAAAAAGATAAAGGATCAGAGACACCAATTTATAGAAAATAATCCATGATATATTTTACTGTTAAGGGATAACCAAATAAAATTTTTGCTTAGAAGTCACCTGTTAGACCAAAGTATAAAAATTCAAAGCCCAAAATCACTTAATATAATCTTCCTCGCATCTTGATTTATTTATGGCAGAGTTTCTGGTAATTTATTTCTTTAAGGTGAGAATTGCTGGGCAGCAAATATTATAAAGACTTCATCACTAATAAATATTACTTTTATGTTTTCCATGTGTCTGGCACACTGGGAAAATATAGCTTCATCACAAGAAAGAATGATATTCAAAAAATAACTACAATATTCAATTAACCCAAAGACATGGGACCATCAGATTTCATTTATGTCTTAATAATCAATGATCAAGAGATGGAAGAACCAACTTAAGTAAATCTCTTTCATTGACTTCTTTTTCCCAGAGGAGACCTGGACTGACAAAGGAGATGCAAGCTGCTCTCATCACTTGACTTGCAAATCAATTTGGCTGGGATTATCACTGGGAATTAAGCTCCAGTGAAAGGTGCAGGGTGGTGCTGAGACAACAGGGAGCAGAGGGGGAGGCTTTGCCACTGACAGTAAATGACTAAAAAGCTGTGTCAAAAAGGACTAATTTGGTCAGATATACTTTGGGAGCAACACAACAGCTGCAGGTCAGGTTATTGTGTCTTGCTATAAAGATCTTAAGTATCCCAATTGGCTGCATCCAGCTTGATCTCCATTTTAAAAAGCTTAGAAAAACTATAGTGCTTTCCTGGCATGTGGGCAATTTCTGTTGAATAGAAGGGTTATTAATGGAAAATAAAAATCGATGGAGCACTGTGCTTTCTCAGCTCTTCTGTGAAGGGAAGTAACAATGAAGTAATTCCACCATTAGTATTATTTGTAACATTGCCCAAATATTTTCAAATTGTAGTTTAATTTTTTTTTTCATTTTTCTAGTCACAGTTTTGGATTGTAAAATCCAGTCAGATTCTTGGGTGGAAAAATTTCAGTACTTAATACTGATCATTGCCTATCACCTGCCATTCTCTAGTGTGCACTGTATTTCATGTATGTCTGAGAGGGAGGAATGTTTTGATAGGTATTCTTTGTACTTATTTTGTGGGAGATGATAAGGAGTTAGGTTAGATATATGAAAGTTCAGAATGGAGCTGTCATGGTTGGAAGATTTATTCTGCATAGCAGTGATTTTCAGTCCCAATTGGACAGAGAACAAAAGGCTTTTATTGTTTGTTCGATTTTGTTTTGTTTGCCTATTTCTAGGTAAAGCATCCTTTTGGATGTAAACAATAAAACAGAGATCCAGCTCAACATAAATATATAAGCATCAAACCGTCCTGTGAAAATAAAGCTGAATTTATAACTATCCATCCTTTCTAAAACTGAACTATCACTCTTTTAACGTTGTTGCAGACTCATGGCATCCACTTTTCCACACTCTCTGTTCCAAGAATAAGCCCTGAGTGCTTCACACAGAGAAACTTTGTGAGCTTATAATGGACCAGAAAATATAGCACACTTGATTCTTCATTTATTTCAATGAAGGAACAGCAAACTTGTCATTTTCTCTTTGGGCTCTTTAGGTCTCATCGGTACTAGAAAAAAATTGGGAGGTCAAGAACTGAAACCTGCACCTTCATCAGATGCTCAGGGATAAACTACCAAGATATGAGTAAACCCCAGTCCGATAACCTCAAAAGATTTCTTCAAAAGGAACTTCCCTGACCTCAATACTGCTATAACCCTAAGGGCAAAACCCAAAGCTTCTTTAATGTTAATATGGTCCTAAATTTGCCCAGAAGTTGGGGGCTGATTGCAGGCAGGAACCAACTGCACAGTGAAAGAGCTGCCAAGTAAACATATTTTCCCCAAATCAAGTGTTAGTAAAAATTTTTCTATTGGAGGACTTTCCTTAGATCAAACATTTGAAAGTTTAATTAAATAAGGATTTTTTAAAAAGGAATTGAGACCTACAATGTATTTTTTAAAATCTACATTTCTAAACATCCAGATCTCAAAAGACCTAAAAAGAAAGTAGCAATGCAGTCACCGAATAGCAAGGCATGTCCATATTTCAAAGAGGCATAAAATATAAAATGATATACCAACAGAAGATTAAAAATGTAAAATGGATTTAGCATTGTCATATTGCATTTTAAAAAAGGCAGAACCCTATTTAGTTACCTAAAGTAATTTACAAGAAAACAGAATTTTAGAAGTCCTCCCATGAATCAAGTGCAGATAACCTAAAGGTGGGGAGTGCAGGGTTTGTTTCTATCTGTCCCTTTTAATAAGGGCATATGAGGTAATTAGAAAGTATTCAATGCATTCTGGACTGTTTGGCTAATTGTCCCATACAAGTGAAATCAAAACGCTTCAGAAAAGTAAGGCCTAGTAGAGTATCTGGGTAGAGGCCTCGCTTCAATCAGCTAGTCACTAAATGGAAATCTCATTCTCACTCATTTTGCAGAGATAGATTGATCACGCTGTAGAAAAGGCTGGTTGCTGAGGAGGTGTTTCTTCCATCTTTCCTCAGCCTCCTCTGTTTCTATTGAGTTAGGTCTTCATAGTGGCGAAAGAAAACAGGTCATTTTTCCTTCATAAAGTATCACTGGATGATTCCTTTATGTTAATTATAAGAACCTTATAATAGATACCGATTAAAAAACCTTTTTTTTTGAAAATTTTTTTCATCTCAAAGAGTTCTCAGTCCCCACCCCTCACAAGGTACCATGAAGGGGCACTAAAGTGCATTTTGACAGAGGGGAGTAGAGTTTAAAGGTGCTGTCCAAGCTAAGAACCAGGATGATGCTGTTTAAAAAAGAAAGGCAATTCCGTCTGCCTCCATCTCTGGAGTCAATTGAGGGAGGGTAATGAACTAGACCCTCACTGCAGGATTGTCCTAACTCTTAACTTTAGAGAAAACTGTTTAAGGACCTGCACATAGAGACTCATTTATTTGTCCAAAATAGCAAAAATAGGCCTATTTCACCCTTAAGAAAGTATTTGCAAATCTGATCAGTTATGATCATAAAAATGTGAATGGATTCCAGGTGCAATCCATGTGGGCATGCTCGGTGGTACTAACTATGCATCTTCAGCTTAAAAGAACATGCTGCTGTTGATTTTCATCAAAACATAGCTTCTAACTACCATAAATAAAATACACATGGAACTATTAAATCTTTTTTCTTACAATAATTACTTTGACATTAAAAAGTCACCATCATCTTCAGATATATCGAAAATTAGGTCTCTAAATCTTATTATTTCCCACTCTTGGTTAACTATCTTGCACAGGCCCGATAATCCAAAACTTGGAGGTCTGATCTACATAGCTTGGCAGGTTTTGCACAGTTTGACAGGTAGGCAACTGTGAGATATGCTTTTTTTTTTTTTAAATTAGCATTTTCTATCAAAACTGTCTGAAATCTTTTAAAATCCTCATAGAGACTGTATTTGTGCAATGCCACAGTCATATAGCTAGAACGGAGGAAAGCAGAATACAGTCTGGAAGATTTACCACAGTTGAAGTTTTTTTTTTGGTCCTTGATTTAAACAAGGATGAGCCCAGAAATCCAACGAAATACAGTGCTTTACACAAGAAAAGAGTCAGTTGGTCCTATAATAACTGAAGCTACTACACTGGGACAGTCTCAACTACAGGCGATTTGATGCACTCCTCATGCAATCTGCTCTTTTCGGCAAGGCTCAGGGTATTTTCAGCAGGGTGCTCTGAAATGTGGCTGTCACCATTCAAAGTAGACACGAACCCTTCAGGGGAGGGGCCTTTCAAGTAGGAGTGAAATTCCACTTGTGGATGGCTGGACCTGTGTTCAGGATATAAACTGTTGCAGGACATTCCGCTGTCATTTTCTGCGGAGGAGCAGCAAACGATAACAGAGGGATTGGCAGCTGGGTAGTGGGAGGTGCCATAAGCCTCTTCTGCTTGTCGGGCATAGTCCACAAACTGTTCTGGGGTCATGGTGTAAGGCACCAACGAGAGGGTACCATTTTTGATCGTTTCTCTTTCGGAGTAGTTCTCCGAGATCTGGCTTGGTGTTCCTGGAATGTGGCTGTCTATTTGGTAATACAGAGTTGAAGAGTTGGCATAAAAAGAAGCATTTTTCGGGTGACTTTCATGAATGGCGGTGCCATCAGAATAACAGAGGACAGAAGGGAGAGGAACAACTTCAGCATGAGTACCCAAGCCTTCCACGAAGCTGTCCCCTTTTTCCTCATCTTCATCCTCCTCCTCTTCTTCCTCTTCCTCCTCCTCCTCCTCATCTGACTCACTTGGAGCCAAGCTTTGTGTGCTAGAATCGGTGACTCCACTGCAGAAGCTGCTCCCATCTTCTTCCTCTTCCTCTTCCTCTTCCTCCTCCTCTTCTCCTGGGCAATCTAATTCCTCAGCAGACTGCAGGTGTAGCACTGCAGCCTGGGGCTCCGTTTCAATCTCAAAATTGTCTGTGATGGAATATTCTACTGAGTGAGCTACTGGGCCCATGGAACTACTGTGAGCACTGAGCTCACCATGGCAGCCATTCAGAGTGGGGATTTGTTGCTCTCGGTTTTTCTCCAGTTCAAGTTTCATTATGGTGTGCAAAAAGTGAGTCCGGACACGGATAGGATTAAATTCAATTCTACCTGCTGTGTTACTGCATCCTTCTTTCGTGCAGCCACATGGGAAAGACATTCGATCCACCTTGGAAAGAAGGACATAAATTAGCCTCATGGAACTCTGACAAACTAAATATAAATTCCATCCTGCTTGGCAACCCCTTTGACTCTAAGATGACTTAATTCTATTTTTGCTGGAATAAATGAGAATCCAGTTGCAAAGAGAAGCAAAAAAAAGAAAGTGAAGCTTTTGGTTGTTTGTTTGTTTTTTGGACCATACCTGGCGATGCTGAGGGGTAACTTCTGGCTCTGCTTTCAGGAAGTACTCCTGGCAGTACTTGTGGGACCACATGTAATGCTGGAGATTGAACCTTGGGTCAAGTATGCAAGGCAAACACCTTAACCACTTTACTATATCTCTAGTCCTAGAAGTAAAGCTTTAAAATGTAAGCTCTTATCTAGTCTTAAATCCTATATTTAATAAAAATGCATGGCTCTAGGTGTTTATTTGTAGTTCATTAGCCTTCATGTGGTTTTGAAAAATTCTTGTTTGATCTTTTTTTCTCTCTTTCCATCTCAGTAATTTTATTTCCATTTCTGTAGTGCTTATATCCTATCCCCAAGTACTTTTCCCTTTTGCTGCATGCCAGCTAACATGGCCAACATGGCCATTCACTATCTTCATCCCAACCTGTTTTTTTTTTAATTCTAAACTACATGATCATCTCCTAACTAGTCACACCCCTTTTCTCGTGTCTACTACAAAATCAATTTCTCTTCTGGAGATGTCCAGATTCATACCATGTAGTATCATGCAGTCTGATCATCCACTCTCCTTAGCTAACTTTCTCATTATTTTGTATCCCTGCTACCTGGCACGTGGTATTTTTTAAATTTTATTTATTTATTATTATTTCTTCTTTTTGGGTCACACCCGGCGATGCACAGGGGTTACTCCTGGCTCTGCACTCAGGAGTTATGCCTGGCAATGCTCAGAGGACCATATGGGATGCTGGGAATCGAACCTGGGTCGGCTGCGTGCAAGACAAATGCCCTACCCTCTGTGCTATCTCTCCAGCCCCCTATACATGGTATTTTTGCCCCACTGTAAGTGGCATGCTCTTTCATGCCTAATGGGACTTGTGTGCTTAGGTCCTGGCTCCCATCTTCTCTTCCCCATTCCACTGGATCACAAGCATCTTCAAGGAAGAAACTGTTCAATTAACCAATATCCCAGAATTACTTCAGTAATTGCTTTTTTTAGAAAGATTGGGTCCAGCACGTATTGTTGGACTGAGCTGTTGGTGCTGGTGGCTAAGTGGAATTCTGGGAAATCCTAAGGTACTCAAGATAGTCGCTAATTTTCCCCAACTTCAACAAATTAACCTGCATATAGACCAGAACATGGGGAAAAAAATCACTCTGCTCAAGCGAATGGAATTTCCTGTGCTCTACTGGAGAAGGCCCCCTTTGTAGCTCTGTGATTCTAGTTTCAACACGCATTTGTAAGAGCCAGAATCTATAGCTGTTTTCTTACTCGTGTATCTTTTTTATATGAACTCACTTCAAGCAACTATTTAACTGATAACTGTCCTCACTTTTTGCCTCCTTACAGAAGAGGCCATTTTATAATAAAATAATATTAATTAATCATAAATCACTGTGATGGCTGTGTACCAGAGAATTATCTAGTTCAGGAGTTGGCAAAAATTTTTTTTTAAAGCCAGAGAATAAATATCTGAGGCTTTGTCTCTGTGGCAACTATCGATTCTGCTGGAGAAGCATGAAAGCATCCATCTACAACATGAAAACCAACAACAAAATATAGCAGTGCTTTAATAAAACATGTACAAAAGCAGATGCTAGGTCAGGTTGACCTGCAGTTTTCCAGCTTCTCATCATATCTGGCCTCTCCTTTCTGACTTGCCAATTTTCATAGCCGCTAAAAATCAGAGTCCAGAGAAGAACTTGAGTTTTTAAAATCTTAATCTAGTGATTTCCCCCTCCCCCATTAGTCCATTATCACCTCTAACAACCATCATTTTATACCCCAAGAATAGAAACAGAAAATACACAATCGGATGTAAGGGGTGTCATGATTTACCTGATTCCTTATAAAAAGCCAAAGTAAATTAATAAAATAAACAAAATTGAGGGAAAATTACTCCAATCCTCTCCACTGCAGCCTGGGTTAACTTTCACATTGCCTCCTAGTACTTTAAGCAGAGCACACATGCTATAAATGGCTTGAATTAAGTCTTTCTACAGAATCACGTCTTGCCTCAGCTCCACATTTTCCTTGTGAAGTAGAAAATGCCATTAAAAGTAACAATTACCTCTGCAGGGATGGTGCATAACACTATTAGATTACCTGAAATGCAAATCCTTACCTGGCACTTAATGCCTGCCAGACTGCAGGTACACGTTTCTGGGTCACAGAACACGCGGCAGTCACATCCACAGTCCTCCCTGGACAGGCGAATGGCTCGAAGCTCATGCTTCTCTTCCACATCAATCTTTTTCACGCCAGAGGCCCGCAGCAGTGCTCTCCGTTTTTTTGTTGGCAGGGGTTGCAGAAAGAAGTACTCATCTACCTCGGTGTTGTCTAAATCAATATCATCATCAGAAATGTCATCCACGGTGAGAGTGCTAGCTTCTTCAGATTCCACGGTGCCATTCTTAGTCATCTGAAAACACAAAGCAGAGAAGTAAGAGACCTAGCATGGGCAGGTTCTTTAATCTTTACTTTTATACTTGATAAGAATGAAATCATTATGTAACAGCATGTCTCCATAATCAATACATGTTTGTGACTCAAATCCCTTCCTTTTAGTTTTTTTCCTTTGAAGAAAGAACAGGAGGGGAAATAAAGCCATGAAAACAAAAGGCTTTTAAAAGTGCCACTAAAAGAAGACTGTTAATTGGAACTCTTAACCTCCTAATGCTAGAAGCTAGTCTTAGAGCTTTTAGCCTGTGTAATGTGGAAAAGATTCAAGGTTATAGGTTTCTATCAGAGACAGCTATCTTTAGACCCTGTTGTGATGGGCAGCTCTGCTGCTGGAATAAATGTGTCCTTGTTCAGAAGGGATAACATCTTAGTGAAAGCCATTACCACCTAAATCAGCAAACAACTTGTCCTTGAAATAACAACCCCATCTTATGGGCTCCAGCAAAATCATGTACTAGGAAATAAAGTTGTGCTGCACTGTGCTATTGGGATTACAAACACGGTTACCCTGCAGAACATTCTAAGAATAAGGGCTTGATATGAAGTAATCAGTCAGGCCAGTGAGACCTCAGCCAGACAAGAAGTAGAGGGGAGCAGGGGCAAGCTTTTGCCAACAGGAAACTGAAACAATAAATGCGGCCTCAAAGGAGTCTATGGGAACCAGTGCCCAAAGCAATACCTTCTGCATAATAGCTCATATGGACAACTCTGTCTCACAGACTTATAACTATGCAGCTTCTATTTATGTATTTTTCCAAATTAATTTCATCCATCAGTAAACTCAGACTCAGCATTTCCCTTTTCATGGTTATACCACCATAAATTATGTTTCTTTTATTAAAAAAATATAGAAAAATGTTTTCTCAGAATATGAACACAAAATATATTCTACGCAGGAAAATAGGAATACATGCAAAAAACACTAAGGTATCATTGAGAAACTTCTAAAAGGAGAAGTCAGTTTCTTTGACTTTTAAATTTATTAATTCATAGGCTTCATTGTTTGCAATTATTGTCATCATTTATTTTAATAATAGTTCAGTTTGTACAGAGTTAAAATACTCTGATGATATTAAGCATCATTTTTTCATCTTTATAGGAAAAAGTTTGGTATTTAGAGACCTAATACCAAACCATGCAGACAATTATAAACATATTAAAAAAACAAACAGAAGTCTTTCCTTGAGTAGAAATAACACAGTAACGAGTATATATTAAAATATATCACAACAGTTTCTGATATGCAATTTCAAAAATTTGCATTCTTATGAGAATGAATTTTCCCCTTTATTAGGTATTTCTTTTTTTTTATTAGGTATTTCTTAATATGATATGTAATTTATTTCCTTGATTTCTTCTTATGATGTCCTCTACAAGATTATAACTTAGGTTGTTGCTGTCATATTTTGTTAATCCTTATTTGCTAACAGAAGTATCCTTATCTGTCTAACAGATCTGAATTTCAAAGGAATTAAAGTACATAATCCCCAACACATACTAAATCCTATGTGAGGTAAAGTTGCCTTAGTATAATGGGTGGGTAGTTGCTTTGCACATGGCCAACATGGATTTGATTGCCGGCATCCCATACAGTCGCTGAGCACTACCAGGAGTAATTCCTGAGTACAGAGCCAGGAATAACTCTCAAGTATTGCCCCCCCCAACAAAACCAAAAATGGGAAAAAAAATGGGAAAGTTAGCTTTCTTCCCCCACTGCCCTTCTCATGACAAAATCCTGATCTGTTTGGGGGCCACACCCATGGTGCTGAGGGCTTACTCCTAGCAGTACTTGGGCAACCATAAACTAGGCAGGGATTAAGACTGAGGTGAGAAGCATGCAAGGCAAGTGCCTTAACCCCTGACAATCTCTCTGCCCCTCACAATTTCCTATGTTCTGTACATGGAAGACAGAATCTGAATTGATTGATGAATATGTTGCAAAGTTGCATATATAAATTTCTAGTTAGTTGAACAACTGAAAACACCTCCTACAAACAGTACACTTGTGGCACGTACATACCTTATCAGAAACCAGCAGTGATTTTAAAAAAGAATTTCAACAGAGGTCATCTAGTGCTGGGAAAGGGAAATTCCGTCCTTTTTTCTCTGAAGAGAGTTTATTTGAAGGATATCATGAACTTGGGGCTATCCTGTTAAGTGTAGTTTTACAAACCTCTCTTTGATAAGTAGCTAAAAGACAGGTTTATCACAATTGCAGATGATAAGATCAGGCTCTTAAAAAATGAAATAAAACTTTATTGATTGCTCTCTTATATCATGACCACCACTAAGAGAGATTCTTGCACAGGACATTTAATTAAGTTCTGATTAAAAAGAAGAAGCAGACATGGTTCCCTAGGTTTTGTGCATTTGTTTGCTTACTACCAATTTAATATGAACAAATTTATCAAGTTTCAAATGGTTACCAATATAGTAAAGTAAAGTAAAGTAAAGTAAAGTAAAGTAAAAAGTAAAGGCCCTCCCGTTGATCATTGATTTGCTCGAGCGGGCCCAGTAACGTCTCCATTGGAGACTTTGTTGTTACTGTGTCTGGCATATCGAATACGTCACGGGGAGCTTGCCAGGCTCTGCCATACGGGCGAGATACTCTCGGTAGCTTGCCGGGCTCTCCGAGAGGGGCGGAGGAATCGAACTCGGGTCGGCCATGTTGGCTGCATGCAAGGCAAACACCCTACCGCTGTGCTATCGCTCCAGCCCAGTCGGTAGAGCAGGAGACCAACTTATTAATGTATGTATATACATAAACAAAGCATTTACTACTATCACATTTTTATAACATGTATGGACCATATCTGGAGAACCATGCATAGATCAAATACCATATTTTGTAAAGTAAAGTAAAGTAAAGGCCCTCCTGTTGATCGTCGATTTGCTCGAGCGGGCCCAGTAACGTCTCCATTGGAGACTTTTTTGTTACTGTGTCTGGCATATCGAATACTCTCGGTAGCTTGCCGGGCTCTCCGAGAGGGGCGGAGGAATCGAACTCGGGTCAGCCATGTTGGCTGCGTGTAAGGCGAACGCCCTACCCGCTGTGCTATCGCTCCAGCTGAGGTTAACATTAATAAGCAGCATTTTATCCAAGAAAAGCAAAACGGATGATAGACTATATTTCCTTGACAGATTAGTAAAAAGACTGAATGGGTTAGCTGTGTTTCGCAGAAACATAGGGAGTCTACAAAACTTATTTCAAATATTTCCTTGTCCAAAAATACTGTTTTCAAACACAGAGTTTAGAGTATAGGAACAAGATTTATTTAGTTTGTTTAGAGAGAAGAACTTAGAAAGTCTTATTAGAAAGCAATCATCAATCAAAGTAGGGAAGAGCTTTCCAACAAAGCAACTAAGTTGCATAAAATAATGGGCTATCTCAAAAGCAGCAAGTTCTGAGTCCTTAGAGATATGAATTAAGACATTGGCCATACAAATATAAATTTTTATATCAAAATTATTACAGCTATATATTAGATAAAAGAAACTTCTGAATTTGTGGTAAAAAATTGGATAGATGACTCTAGTCACTGAGATGTGAAAAACTAAATAAAGGAAAAGATTCAGATCATTTTGATATTATTTAAAATATCATACTGTAATTCTTTGACATATTAGCTGTTAATTAAAGGTGACAAATAGTTACCAATTATTCTCTCATTGAATTCAAGATGTCTTGTTTTTTCAGCCAACAAGAATTTTAACAACTTAAGTTACAATGATTCTTTGGCTTATATATCACTGCAAAAATTTACCAGAAAGAGAATAACATTAAGGTGCAAACTCTATACATTTCATTATCCTCTCTTCTGGTTTAAACCAAAATTTCCTGTTTTGTAAGTGACTAATTAGCCAGATGAATCTTACAGTGTTCTAGGAAATATTTAACAGAAAAAAAGAAAAAAAATTCTAATTAGATGTTTTTGTCAGTCTCATGGTTATTATTACAGCCAGTTTCAAGTTACAACAAAAGATACATATATATATACATATGTGGAGCGATAGCACAGCGGGTAGGGCGTTTGCCTTGCACGCAGCCAATATGGCCGACCTGAGTTCGATTCCTCCGCACCTCTCGGAGAGCCCGGCAAGCTACCGAGTGTATCTCGCCCACACGGCAGAGCCTGGCAAGCTCCCCGTGAGGTATTCGATATGCCAAACACAGTAACAAGTGTCACAATGAAGGCGTTACTGGGCCCGCTCGAGCAAATTGATGAACAACGGGAGGATCGTGACTATATATACATATATATACACACACACAAGCTGGTGATTAACTTTAGCAAGTTGCCACCAGCATAGTCACTGGATATTCATCACAATTTAACCAAGTGAATCAGTTTAGTTGACTCTCCTGAACTATGTCAGCTTTTTAAAAATGTGGTTTGAAAAATGTGGCCACACTTGGCTATTTTCAGGGCTTTGCACTCAGGGATCACTCCTGACAGCACTTGGGGGACAATATGGGGTGCTTGGCAGTGAACCTGGGTTAACTGTGTGCAAGACAAGAACCTAACTCACTTTACTATCTCTTTTGTCCAAGAAAGTCAATGTTTATTGGAGAAGAAGAATATTATTTATTTATACCCGTTTAATCATTCTATTTAAATGGAAACACCAGCAATCTTTTGCAATGTTGTATTTTTATTGTATTTTAGAATGCAGGACTAAAGCCCATTTTCAGTCTATCACTTTGGTTAGATGTATTCTCTTGTACTTGTCAAAACCAGCTGTGCATATGACACGATAAGTATTTGGAATATCAAAGTTTTCCATTTGTTACTGGAGCAGGTCTACATTTGGATGCATTCTGGAAGCACTGATGTGAAACATGCTTGTGAGTAATCCCTGCAGAGTTTTACAGAGAAGTTCTATAGGGATAAGGACATTTAAAAATACCATGACTAGCTGGCTCTGACCCACCTAATAAAGAATAATAGTATGTGGAAA